CACCTTTAGAAGCACAATGTATAGTCCCATAATATTAGACAGCCATTTCGTACCTAAAATAATGTCAAAGTGAGTCATGTCTAAGGGCAATAAATCAACATACAATGTGGCATTCGCAAGTAAAATTTCACATACAAGGTAAACAGATGAACACAACATAGATATCCTCCTGACGGTGACGACATACATAATATATATCTCAGAGTTTCCAAAGGTCTAGTTAATCTAGGAGCAAATTGCATAGAAACAAAAGAATGGGTAGACCCTGAATCAATCAATACATAAGCACACTACCCACATATACATGTAACTACAATCTCTACATTTTGAATGTCCCCTGGAATAAGAGTAAAATCCCTTCCTTGTCTCTGATTATCCCTTGTAGTAGACAGTGTTGCATTGGCCCTTACATTCGGTGCCGCCCCCAGTTGAGCTTGTAGCACCTCGGTTATCACATTGTCGTGTTTGTGGACATTCCCTCGCTATGTGTCTCATCTTCCCACATAGAAAACAAGCTCCAATAGTCCGATAACATACACCCCTATGCTTTCTCCCACAATCTGGACAAACAGGTGTTGAATTACCACTTTAATTTGAGCTACTTGAATTTTTTGACTTTGCTCTCTTAGTCGTTGATGAGGTTGCCCCTTTGTTCACATTCAAATTCTGCCTTTTATCCTTCTATTCAAAATTCCGATTACAAATAGCCATGTATGCCTCTGACATGAGAGCCCTGCCTAAAACATCCATATGTTTGGGTAGTTTCAACACATTAATTCTGTCAAGAATTGCATCACGGAGACCTCCTTCAAATTTTCTGGCCCTTTTGTAGTGTGTATCGACAATATGCGGCGCAAATCGTGCTAGTTCAATAAACTAGGCATTATACTCTGCCATTGACTTATTCCCTTGCTTTAACTGTTCAAACTCTATTACTTTCCTATCTCGTACACACTGCGGGAAATATTTTCTGTAGAAAATCTCTAGGATTTGAGCCCAATTAATTCCCCTGTTAGTATCTCGTACTAATATCCATCATCTCCTCGTTTCATCTTCTAAAGTAAAGGCGGCCAACAGGACTTTTTGTGTCTCTGTGCACAGAAACACCTCAAATAATTTTTCAATCCCCAACACCCAAGCCTCGGCCTTTAGCAGATCAATTCCCTCTTGAAACAAGGGTGGCCTCATCTTTTTAAATTCTTTGGTGAAGGCAATGGTTCGGTCATTTGTCTGGTGATCTTGTACCGGTGGTACGGGTATCGGAGATGGCAGTGGTGGTTGTTATTGCTGTCATTGTTGTTGCTGCCTTAGGCTTTCAACTATATCATGCAACATTCTCTTTATTTGGTCAAGTCAATTGGAGATAGACTCCTCCAGTTCATCCCCTCTTGTTCTCACCATTATCTATATAAAACTTGTATTATAACAAATACATTGTATGCATACATATACATATACACATTGTCAAAAGTTACCTCATTCTAATATTCAAATGCATATGAATGCAATCCTTAAGTCTTTTCTAGACCCCTTATTACTCAATAGACAAGTGAGTGAGGCATAACTCGTGCTCTGATACCAAACTATCACGACTAGGACCCACCCCTAGAAGTTTAGGCCGTGACCGGCCAGTAATCTCAGATTACCTCCGTCCTCAAAGACAAAACTAATAATTAAAAATAATAACGGGGCACCGCCGAAGCAATATTAAAATACGACTATGTCCATCAAGCAGTGCGTACATGAAAATCCATGAGTAATTAAAACTTCAACCTTCCTCATAGATATGAACACATAGTTATTTCAAACATTTTAAATACTTATACAAAATATCCATACATAACAAGTTTCAAAAACAAAAGAAAACTGAACAAAATAACTTGATCCACAGGGTTGACACAACTTGGCTCCGCATGAGTCCAAGATCGCCCCATCACAGAGGCACTCCAAAATGGTTTGACAGAAGCGTGCACTTCTGAGGTGTCTCTACACTTGATGCTCCATCTGTTCACCTACATATATATATATATATATAGGGGAAGGGAATGGGCTAAAGCCCAATAAGTAATACCAGTATAAAGAGGTTAAATGAATAATGTCTATTGTAATATAAAATCATATTACATAGGTTTTAAAGCAAATCATAACTGAATACTTGTCGTATTAAAGTTCCCAAATCATAATCATGTGTGGTACATCCAATAGTGCAACAAAGGGCCCGAAGGCATAGCAAAGGGACCACATGTGTCTAACGAATGGACTATATAGGTTAAGCAAAGGGACCACTTCGGTCAACATCACAGATCTCTGTGTACATCTAACAAAGGGCCGCGGTATTGTTTCCGGCAGGCGAGGGCTTTATTAACAAGGGGCCACGGTATTGTTTCCCTCAAGCAAGAGCCTTATAGTAAAGGGCCATGGTATTGTTATCTCCAGGTGAGGGCTACACTAAAGATGCTACAACTACATTTCAAAACGGACAATCATTCATTCTTATTGAAATAGTATTTCAAAATAATATTCTTGCGATAAGTCAAAATACACTTTAACAACGTATCCTTACAAAGGTACTACTCATAGTGGGCTGGTACAGTTGTTAGACCTCAGTTGACCACCTACACAAAACACATAACACAGATACACATTGAAATACACGTTCGTAACAAATGGCGTATCTTAATTGATTCTCCTACATGTGTTTCTAGATTATTCCATGACAAAGAATGTCTAAATGATGCTTAAGAATACCTAAAAGAGTATGAGGATGCAAATATGCACTTATAAGTGTTAGATAAAATTTGTTGAAAACAGGGTGTCGCTCGAGCACACCTTTGGTCGCTTGAGCAATGTAGCTTGACTGCAAAAGTATTGGATGCATGCAAAGTGCGCTCGATGGTCGCTTGAGCCAAGTGTTGAACAAAATTGAGTTTGCTTGAGCACACACTTGGTTGCTCAAGCCAACTACCAATGTCTGCAAAAATATTGAATGCATGCAAAGTGCGCTTGAGTGGCGACTTCACCACTCGAGCGAAGTGAACGAATTCTGAAATTTCTAGAACAGAGTTTGAAGTTCAAAATTGCAATTCTCATGTTCCTCACTTGCATGGCTTGACTCAAAAGCATACAAACTCTTTATAAAACATGTACACTTGGAAATTATGTAACCATGATCCCAAATTCTCTTTTAATTTTCAAAAACAAACTTCAAAACTCTATGTTCTTGTCATGAATGTATAGAATTCAATTCCTTTGCTCACAAAACATGTGTATATGAGATGTTAAGTGTAAAATCATGAAGAACCTTAAGAATCAACATGTGTAAGTCCCATGCATGTATGAATTTGTAGAAAACTAAGTTCAATGATGGAGAATTATGCATGCATGTACTCAGTTCACTCAAACTCACTACATTCATGATGATTCTTACTCTTTTCTTTCAAATTCTTGCAAATGGTTCTACAACTAAGTGAATTCATCTTCCTACATGGATAATCTTCATGAATTATGGTTAAGGATCATACCTAAAGCTTGAATTTGACCTTAGCTTAATCCCTGCAATCTCCTTTTAACTCTCTTGAATTCCTTCTTTCTCTCTCTAAAGTATTGAGCTCTCTTCTCCTTTCTCAATTTTCAGCTCATAAGATGTTGAAAATGAAATCTTAAGCATGATTTACACACACACACACACACACGCACACACACACACACACACATATATAGGTGGATTAGTGTTAAGCTAATTAAATGGGATTAGGCCTAATCAATTGAGCATACTTCTAATCAAATTCTAATTAATTATTCTAATTATTTTGATCTGAATCAAATTTTAATTAAAATTACCATATGGTTCTAAATATTTCAACTAACCTATCAAATAAGTCAATTTCGGTTTCTGGATCCATTTGTGATTTCAATTTCAAATTTGAAGTTGACATTTAAACAGATAATTTACAAACAAATAGATAAGCATCAATTAAGCACATAATCATGCAAATATGCTTAATGAAATAATATTTAAAATTAATACGGTGGTCCGGATCGTCACACTCTAGCTCCTTGAACTACCGATGTTATTAATTGTATTTTGAAGCAATGTTATTGTAAAGTAAACATCTAATTTTTGGGGAGGGGTATTTGGTTACTAAATCGACGCTTCCAAATTTATGTCTTCATTTTTTTAATCATTTTTTATGATAGTGACTTGTGTTGAAGAGTTATTGGCGCTGGAAAAGTTGGACGGAAAAGTCACCAACAATAAGCGGTGGTGAGGTGGACATTTAGATAACATGTACATAAATAGATAAGATTTGAACAGATAGTTTGACAGTTAGATGATACGTGTACAAATAAATAACATTTAGACATATATGTGACATTTGGATAGATAATGTCTTTTCGGCCGAAAAAGATTTAAGCTTGGGGTTATTAGCTCAAAAATTTCAGAAACTCTGGCTTGAATGCTCTAATGCTGTGTTTGGTTGGGAGATTTGGGGAGAGATTTGGAAATGGAAAGGGAAAAGGTGTGTAAAACTAGGTGAAATATAGGCATTTTTATTTACATTTCACCTACCTTTTCCATTTCCCTTTCTAAATCTCTCTCCAAATCTCCCAACCAAACACAACATAAATGAATTACAGTAAAAAAATTTAATAAGTATAACATTACTATAAAGTACTATGTGACACTATTGCATGCTTAATAATTTTTCCAGTTCAAAAAAGTTAAAATCATAAGAAATTTTTTCAAAATTCAAAACATTTTCACATATTTATATATATTTTTTACACAATTCAATACACTTATTTTACATTGCTCGTTAACAATTTTCATGTTAACAACATATATAGGATCTCTTTAGGATGAATACCTAGGGTAAAAATCGGGAAGCCGCCACTGCATATGTTTCTATACTCATCTTATTATTGCTTAAAATATATCTGGACAGAGTAGATAAAAGAAAGAAAATTTATTACTAGGTCGATCCAGTACATATATGAACATATGAACAGATACATAAAAATCTGTCAAGTAAACAGCTGATCATAATACAGAGATACGATGGTGAATAAAATGAACAGAGAAGTCTGTCCAGTAAACATTTCCAAAAGACAGTAAAAAGGAGAAGGAAAAGAAGCAAAATGTAAGAACAGTAGTGATATGACACTATACCATATGAACCTCATATCCTATTCTAACGATTGGCCCCTCAAAAAGCGCCAAGGCCCTGTTCCAGTCCCCATTCTGCACATTACAAGGAAAACCACAAAGTCTGAATTTTCCATTTTTAATCAACATGAAAGCTTAAAATCACGTTAATAACATGCCAAACATCCACCATTACTTCTTAAAAGTCTTTCTTGTATAATTCCAAATTTTACAAGTACCTGAAAATCTTTGTGTGTCTGTTCATCTATTCTCTACTGTTTTTATTTTTTTGAGCATACAACAAGAGAAACACTTGTTACGCCCTTCCCTTTCAAAATTTCATCGGTTTGGAATAATGATATGAAATGCATAATTACAGGGTATTCACTTGAAATGGTTTCGTTATACGAATAACCTAAATTACCTCCAAACCCCAGCCAATGCGCGTAGACCCATATAAATAGTTAATGCAAGCCATATTCCAACAAAACCATGACCTTTAGAGAGAATGAATAGAGATGCAATGCTCACTATAGCCACCAGAACCTGATGATACATTAAAAAGTATTTGTCAAAATGAAGTTACAAAGTATATGTAAATGCAAATTTACATATTTGTTTTTTGTGTGGATGAAGGACTTGTAAATTTACCATGGAATATGCAGAATATGCAAAATCAGATGCTCCAAAGTTCACACCATCAAAAACAAAGGCCAGGGAATTGATTGGCTGTGTGGCTGCAACAAACTGGTAGGAGTATAACATAAAGGTCAGTTTATTAGAGTCATGAAATAAGAACAATAGTGATATAAAAGAAAGGTTTTTTGATCTCCAGAAAAGATTTTAAGCTCAATTCTTTTTTTTTTTTTTTCAACTAGGAACTACATAATAACAAAATAAATAAAGTGTTATTTTTGCTAGTAATGGAAGTACCGGAATGCCTATACTTATGAGGTGGATAACACTTTTGTCCTTCGAAAATATTCCAGATCCAAATTGCAACCCAAGTCCAACAACTCCAGCGAGCCCCAGACCCAATACAAAACCCATCTGCAAAATAAAGCTTCTCTTCATTTTTAGGCTTTGTACAGTAGAAATGGAAGAGGAGGATATCAGGTAATTGAATTTGTTGTAACTATGATTTTTATGAGAACAAAATATGTCAATGAGGTGTTTATCAATCATAATATAAGATGAAACACAAATGGATAGCCACCCTATCTCTGTGAGAATCTCACAGAAGTAAACAGCATCTCTCTTTGTGCTGTTGAATCAGTCAAAGTTTGAGATTTCTGACAATCATAATTGAAAGAAGGATTTCTACTTCTATAATTAGAAAATGGCTTACCTGCAATACTCGGGAAGCAGCGGCTGTTGCTTTCTCAAGGTCTTTCTCAGCAAATGCACAAGCAAGGATAGCCTAGAGGAGTGGGAGAAAAAGAACATATTACCATTTCATTGATCAACTTATGTCGAAAAACAAAAAGGAAGAATAGGGAGGTCCTTGTTACTTGGTTGGGCTCTTTTTGGTTCTCAGACATGGTCGATGAAAGGGAAAAACAAAAACGAAACTCTCCCTTTCTGTCATATTTTGAATCAACCAAACAAGGAAAAAATGATTTCCTTTGAGTGTATCGAAGATCCAATTTTTAAGCTAGAAGTAGAATATGATCTTTTTTTGAATAGTTGGCTCTCGGATGGAGTAGATTCCTCCTTGGATATTTACTCTTTCAAAATCTATTTCAGTTGTAGGATTAGACCATGACCTATCAAAAAAAAAAAAAGAATTGGTTCCTGGTTTATTCCTCCATCTCACCCAATGATTCATTAGGATTCGTTTTCAACAGAATCTTTTGCATTCAAAGGTTCCATCGTTCCCCATCTTGATTAATGGTTAGGTCTGAATTCTACAACAGAGTGAATCAAATTTTTTTTTTTTTTTTTTTTTTCGAAGGATCTTATGAGTAAAGTTTTGGTCAATAGACAACATAGGTCTTTGTCTATTTCTGCAGCCTGTTGGTGTCTCATTTGTATCATCATTACTTTAAAAATAAAAAATAAAAAAGTTTTTTTATTGTTCACTATATGTCAAACCAAACAGACAGTCTCTCTCTCTCTCTCTCTCTCTCCAAACACACTGTAGGTAGCAAGTTTTAGGTAAAAGGAGATCAACACCCATTTTTGAATTCTTCTTATATCTCTATAGATTTCAGTTGATCTAGTTATGCTGTGTACTTGTTTATTATCTTCAGTGATTTCATTGTGTGAACTAAGTTCTTCAATTTGACACCAAATATGATATGACTTAAAAAAAGAAAATACCATTTCTTCCAGTTGAGTTTACAAGACTGAGAGAGAGAGAGGTGTTCCATACCTGTCCAGCAACAGCCAAACCATCAGCAAGAAGCGATGATGTCATCCAGACCTGTAAGCAAATCTGAAATGCAGCCATAGGTGTTGGACCTAGCCTCGCAGCCATTGATGCTGCCAACGTTACACAAAATGTCACAGCTATTACCCTTGCCAATAATAGAAAACCTGTGCCCAAGCGCAAACAATGTTAAACAGAAGATAAAAGGCTTCAACTAATGAGCAAGCAAAGGACAAGACGCATAGCAAAGTATGGAAATATGGACTCTTATAAAACATGTTCAAGTCAAAAAACTAATTTTGGATAAGATCAACAAGGAAATTAATCTGGATATGTAGCAGTAAATAGGTTCGTATAATTATGATGTAAACTGTTAGCATCAGCTAGCTCAAAATGATAAAATGCCTCCTGCATATAGCTGTTTTCCGAGTCGTGACCAACAGAGTAGAAATGGAGCTCAAAATCATAAACAAGTTCATTAATGCATGCATATATGGAAAACAAAACTCAATAAGAAGTATGAAGAAACAAAACCAACGGTGAGTTTCATGAATTTTGCTCACATAAACAAATCCAGGTCGGATTTGGCATGCACAGTGATCTCAATGGGACAGCATAACTTCGGGTGCCTCAATTTACACAACAAACCATCTCATTTCACCCCCTAATTAGACCATCCTCTAAAATTCAAAATTTTATTTTATCTCATTACACCCTTGATAATTCCGAATATTTCCTCATCCTTACCATCTCATCTTTCCTTTTGCGGCCCCTAATTTTTGAAAGCCCAAACTTCACACCCACCACCACCTCCAAATGCCACAACCGCCCTTCCCACAAATACCACCACGGCCACGAACCACCCCTACATCACCGTACTAAACCCCTCTAGACCCCCACCACTATGACCCCCCCCCCCAGCCCCCCCACCCCCGCCGCCCCACCCCCCCTCAACCCGCTAGCAGCCGCAATGTGCTTTGCAAAAGGAAACTAATTCCAAGTTCAGAACCCATCCATTCATTAGCATTTATTAAAGAGGATTTGATCATCACATAATGACTTTTGTCACTGATTTTATAGCACTTCATAAAAAGAGTAGGGTCAAAAGGTAATTAATTAGCGAAAACCAAAACAAAAAGGAAAGGTAGTCAATTGATTATAAATTGCTTCAAGTTTATGCAGCAGAACCATGCCACCAACAATAGGCAGTGATGGGAGGGAGAGCAAAGGGATGGGCTGGGGGTTGCCGATCTATGGAGTGGTGGTTGAGGAAGGTTCTTCATGGCTACGGAAGGGGTGACAGGTAGGAATATGAGATGGTGCGGGAGGCAGTGGCGGCGGCCAGTGTCTGGGAAGGAGAGGGGTAAAGAAAAATAAATTTCGTTTACCAAAAATAACAAGGGTAAATTACATTGACACCCTCTCGTGATTCAGTCCAATTACTACGCATTTTTGATGTTTTAAAAATTATATTTTTATTCGTGTGGTTAATAGTCTCATTTCACAAACTCCCTACTTATATAAAAAGTAACAACTCCTAATATAAAAATAGAGAAAATTATATTAAAAAAAATAAAAACAAAGAAAAGGAGAAAAAAAGAAAAAGTAAAGCAAAGCCAAAAAATAAAGAGTGCATGAGTTCAATATCTTCATTCCGTCTAAATAATTACAAGAATAGAGGGGGATTAGTGTAATTTTTCAAACGTCAGAGGTGATATGTATTAAACCCAAACCTCAGGGAGCGTAAGGGTGATTTATCCCAAAAAAAAAAAAAAAAAAGGAAAGAATTTTTGTTTTTGAATATTAGTGGCAGATTCGGGGGAGGGGTGATGGGAGGGAGAGCAAGGGGATGGGCTGGGGGTTGCCGATCTATGGAGTGGTGGTTGAGGAAGGATCTTCATGGCTAGGGAAGGGGTGACAGGTAGGAATATGAGGGTGGTGCGGGAGGCAGTGGCGGCGGCCAGTGTTTGGGAAGGGGAGGGGTAAAGAAAAAGTTTGTTCGTTTACCAAAAATAAAAAGGGTAAATTACATTGACACCCCTTGAGGTTTGATCCAATTACTACCTATTCCTTGACGTTTTAGAAATTATATTTTTATCCTTGTGGTTAATAGTCTCATTTCACAAACCCCATAGTTATATAAAAAGTAACAACTCCTAGTATAAAAACAGAGGAAATTATATTAAAAAAAAGAAAGAAAAAGGGAAAAAAAAAAAGAAAAAAAAAGTAAAGCAAAGCCAAAAAAGAAAGAGTGCATGAGTTCAATGTTTTCATTCCGTCTAAATAATTACAATGACAGGGGAGTTAATGTAATTTTCTAAACGTCAGAGATGATATGTATTAAACCCAAACCTCAGGGAGCGTAAGTGTAATTTATCCAAATAAAAAAGAAAGAAAATTTTTGTTTTTGAATATTAGGGCTTTTGTCCTAAAATGTAATTTTGTTAAGGGATAAAATGGTAATAAAAAATTTAAGAAAAGATAGGGGTAAAGAGACAAGTGTGGTGCAAATAGAATCACCCCCTTATTTGTTTAGATATTATTTGATAACTCAGATGATAACATTATTCTTAATGCTTCGAACTAGTCCTCTCATGAAAAAGGCACTAGTTTTTTTCTTTTTTTTGGGTATTTTAACAAATAAAATTTCTATTTCTAAACTGAAGGCCATACAGAACATATCAATTAATATGCAATGTACTTTTAATTTTGAATGTTTCATCAAATAAAACTTTTGAGACTGGGTCCACAATATGAGAGTATATTGATTACATCTAGGCTGGCATTAACAAAAAAGAACTTCTGAAAGAGCATGTATCAAATTCCATACCATTTTTAAGAAACCGACTGAACTGCAAATCTTTGGCACTTGGAGGTAAGAGATCAACTTTTTTCATTAATTTACACAGGAGGATCAGTGAAATTAAATATCTGTAAAAATATCAAAAAATATAAACAATCAGATAAAGATCCCTCGGAAGATCGCAGCAATAAAATAACTAAGTAATTTAAAACAACTCTGCAACTTAAATTTAAATGTGCACTGTCTGGTTGATAGTCTCTGAATACAAAACTTACTGAGAAAGAACATGAGCAATGGCTGCCCCACTGACTCCTAAATGGCAAACAAAGATGAGAATTGGATCCAGTACTATATTCATCAAGTCTCCTGCAACTACATGATACAGAACCCAGATGAACATGAGTTAGTAGAAATGTATTCAAATTTCAAGCAACATAGCTGATGGAGTTCTGTTTCTTTGATATGTGAAAGCTGCAAGAATATTAATTCAAGTATTGATAATTTCACATTCATGATGATAATGCCATTTATTCATCTGAAAACCACATGAAACCAAAAGAATGATTTAGTAACCCCATAATTCAGATGGTTTGTTTTGTTTGAAACTTTTTGATGAGTTCTGGGTCTTAAAATTCAACTCTAAGGAATTAAAATCTTTTTGATTTTGAACTTTTGCAAAATAAATATCAATTTAGATAAATTCATGATTATTTCCAAACTTGTGAAAATTCTTTTACATTGTCTATCCTCACATTTAGTTTACAAAGAATATTAGGCTGATCCATATATTCAAAAATCAAATTCATAGGTCACCGTATCTAGGTCAAATAGAAAGAGGGAGAGAGAGAGGTACCGGTTACTAAGATTGTCCTTTAAAAGTAAAAGAGTGGCATGTGGAAATACCTATATCAAAAATGATTTAGACCTCTAAAAGAAGAGCTCTAATAGAGCACTAATTTGTTTTTTTCTTCTCTCTTTTTTGTCTTTTACTTCACTGTTTTTTTTTTTTTTTTTTTTATTGGTTGACAGCTCATTAGAGTTGTCCTTTTGCAGCTCTAATTAGAGCTCCGGTGCATTACCCATACCTATATATATATATCTTGGAATTTCTGCTTACCTGTGGCATATAAAGGAGTTTTCGTGTCCTTAAATCCTCGAAAGACCCCTTGCATGGCCAAAGAAAGAAGAACAGCAGGAGCACCAAGTGACCTTAAAGTCAAATATCTTTGTGCCGGTTTAAGCATAGGAGAGCCCTACTCAATACAAGAGAGAATGCATTATTCATTGTTGTTAATAATGTCATATGATTAATAATGTTTGCTAACAGTAACAACAACCTCAAATAGAATCAATATCCTAAATTCCTAATTACCAAAACGAGCTAGTAATACAAGTATCTTTAAGAATGAAACAAAATTAACATCAAAGGTCTGTGCAAGTTCCACTCAGAATGATTGAGATGAAAAACTAAATCAATTTTCAATGCAAATCCATTAAATCTTGTATATGCTAACTTAACTACAGTTGCAATCTACATATGCATACTGTTATTGTGCCAAGCAAATCAATTAGACGATATGACAATAAAAAGTATAAAAGGAAATAATAAAAGAAGTATACTTTTCTTCCCTAACTGGCATTTAGCAAATAGAACGTCCATATATCATTAAACAAGTCCATTTTAGGAAGAATGAAGGCCCAGTATACTAAATCAACCACAGGGGTTTGTCCTTGTATACATATGAACAACTTCAAGAATAAAATTAGTCAATATTATCAGACCCCACTTCCAGTAGTTGTAGAGGGCCATTATATTTCTAAATTCTATTGAAGCTAAATATCCACATGGTCGGGGTTGTAGAAAGGGAATATAGTTGAGTTTTAGATGATTAAAGGGTGTTGTTTTAGCATCACAAAGTTTGGCAAGGTCTTTCCTTCCTGAATGTGCTTTTCATACCTCTTCAGGATTGCAGTCATCACACATGGTTTTGTTGCAAATTATGAGTATAGATCAGAAAGGGGATGATGGTTAGGATCCTTCTTCTTTAGGGCAGTGCAGAAATGAGAGTTGAACTGGGTGAAATCATTCACTTGATTTAACAACATATGGGTCTTCCATTTTATATTCTTTTTATGGGGAAGATAATTTGAAGTGGTTGTCTTCTAGGTGTGGTTCTTTCAAGCCGAAAATCCTACCATAAAGAGTTCTCAGAAGGCAAAACCTTTTTGTTCTCGGGGAAACGGTATTTGGGAAGCTAAAGGACCTTCTAATTTTCCTTATTATTATTTTATTTTCTTTCTTAATATTTTGGTATCGAAGTTTCTTGGGAGAAAGTCTTGAAGATTCATAATCTAGTAAGGAAATTTGAAATTCTGCTTCTTGAGGTCTGTTTTTTTTTTTTTTTTTTTTTTTGTGGGACGAAAATGAGAATGTGGTATGCACATACTTTAAGATGCAGTGTGACAGGACTAAGGTCATAAATTACAGTGTTCAAATACTTCATTGCTAGATACGAGAATGATTATAATTCAATAAACAAATTACAAAATAATAATAATAAATAAATTTGAAAGAGCAGAAGTTTCTTACTTCTTTTATATTTGCTATAATTGGACTAATCGTGTAGAAGCATAGCATTAAGCATATTCTAAGGTCATGTTTGTTTGGATGGACATGAGCTTGGGATTGGACTAATAGTCCAATAAAATTATTAATCCGATGTTTGGTTAAACAATTAAAGTACGGACTAATTATTTTAAACTTGACTATTAGTTAAGATAGGATACATAATCCAACGAATTCGTAGTCCTAGGACTATTAGTCATGGGAATGCTAATCCAGTCCGCCCAAACAAACATGGCCTAAGTGTGTTATTGTTCCCCCCTCTAAAAAAAGTATTTTATTGTTTAATGTGACCTTTCTGCAATCTACTTCCAAAGCACTCTATCTCCTTAGTTAATAAATTTCCATCAAGTATATCCATTATGTTTTTAGCCCCTGGAAGGAACGATATTAATAGCAGAAAAATGAACAAGCTCATAGAGCGTGGAGTTAAGAGAATTCGAACAACAGTATAATGTGTTCTTGAATGTATGTTCTGAAATGTGAATTGCTAGTGTATTACATTTTCTAGAAACTCCATTTTAGACTTCTACCCCAAATTTGGAAAATTGGTAAATTATCCCTCATTTAGTTCATTTAACTATCAAAAAATTATATTTAAGATACATCTAAATTTGGCAACAAATATACACAACAAAAACAGCCAAGGAAACAATTATAATGATGAGAGGCGAGATCCATAATGAATGCAAGAAATTCAAGAGACCGTGGTAAGAAAAAAAGGAGATACATACAGATTTCACACCCATGAAACTCAAAATTGGTTTTGCTAGAAATATAAGGAATATGGTTTGCATGAGGCCAAGGACACCACCCAGAAGAAGTGCAGTTGATGCTGAAGGGATATGACGCTTCTCATTTTTGAATTTGGCCTTATTCGGACTGGTACTAGTGACGGCTGGAGACTTGTGTGCAGTTGTTTCGAACTCTGAGGAAGAAATTACAGAAGTGACTAACTTAACCTGCTAGGTGAGCTTCACAAGGGTCTTAAAATACATTTTTTGGACAAGGGTAAAAATGTAATGACAAGAAGATTAATATTAGATTACCTTCTTCTTCTGTTATTAACTCTTTCATTTCACGGTTTGAGGTTGAACCTTTTTCCAAGTTTTCTAGTAAAACATCTTCGGGCACCAACTCTTTCATTTCATTGTTTTTGGCTGAAAGCTTTTCTGAGTCCTCCTCTTCGGCAGCTTTACTGCTCATTCTTCTAACAGTATCTTCCTCAGCAACAAAAGAAGTGGTAATACTAACAAGTGGAAATATGGTAACTTTTGAAGCTTGATTAAAAACAGCGATGGCAACTCCTACTGCAGCAAGCTGCACTGGACCTACAAGATAACAAAAAATGATCTTGAGGACCTAAATTTACTGAATAAGCTGTATCCAAAGAGATTATCAACAGAAAAGTAATCCACGGATCAAGCATGGACAAGTGGCAAAAATGAAGATTAGTTTATATGTAGTTTTTTTGCTTCTTATTTGACATATAGCTTGATTGTAACGTGACACTCCCCCAAAATCCCCACAAGCTAGAATGAAACTAGTAAGAACGAAATGCAAAGGCAATGTAACACAATGATGTGCTTTGCAAAAGAAAACTAATTCCAAGTTCAGAACCCATCCATTCATTAGCATTTATTAAAGAGGATTTGATCATCACATAATGACTTTTGTCACTGATTTTATAGCACTTCATAAAAAGAGTAGGGTCAAAAGGTAATTAATTAGCGAAAACCAAAACAAAAAGGAAAGGTAGTCAATTGATTATAAATTGCTTCAAGTTTATGCAGCAGAACCATGCCACCAACAATAGGCAAAATCTATATTCTCGACGCATGAAGACAATGATGTCAATGGGATATATGAATTCTATTACTAATCTCTCGTAAACAGAACTCATTGTTTGAAAATAAAGCATACCCGATTCACAAGGTGCAATTATCTCAAGAAATTCCTACCTAAACGGCCGATGAATGCTGTGTCAATTAGAGAAGCAATGGGGTCAGCAGCCAAAGCAAGGGCTGCGGGGAATGCAATCTGCAGTATCTCCAATCCTAGTGCATCCAACTTGAAAACAAGCCTAACAAAACATTTCAGCTGTTAGAAGCATATTTATTTATTTAACTCAAATTCTTTGCTACCTAAGCAGCAGAACTTGAGAGCTGGGGATAATTAAACTCAACATGGTGAAACTGTATGTATGTACACCTAGCATCTTTGAAGAAAACAAAGACTGGCAACTTCCACTTGCTCTCCGGGGGAGGCACATCATGACCATCCTCGGCCATGCCAAAAACTGTATGGTGTATTTAAGCACTTTCAATGCAGCTGATTCAACCAACTTTTGGTGCCACGCAGAAATGGCAGTTCTCACACGTTGAGATCTGTAACCTGTAAGGTGCATGATAATTTGGTTACATGCACTGCATTATAACAAGAAAACATATACACAATGGTTTTCAACAACCCAAAAAAAAAAAAAAAAAAACTTCAGAACAATGTTGATATGAATTCAAGGCAAACCTTCAACTCTCAGATACGACGCATAGCATAGGGATGTCAGAGCAGTAGCTTCAGAACAGAAAAGCCAAATGAGTACTGTCCATACAAAGTTGTAAGTGAATTTAAAGCTTACTTTACTTCTCAACCTTCAGTGACAGTGTGAACCTCCCTCAGTTTCTGGGTGACCACATACCGTGAACAAAGGCCTCTCGCTAATTTAAAAAAAAGTTAGCCAACTTTACAAGAAAACCAAGGGCTAATTCATTTTGGAGCAGGTACCCCAAAATCACCATGAAGTTCCAGAATCAAAACCAACACAGGGAGGGCAAACAGAATGCCACAATTATGAAGACACTGATTATTAAATTTAAATTAAAGAGCACAATCAACGGCGAAACTTAGTACTTTAATGCTGTGTTTGTTGGAGGATTTGGGGAGGGATTTTGGAAAGGGAAAGAGAAAAGGGTGAAACTATGTGAAATTTAGGCATATTTTATTCTCATTTCAACTACCTTTTCCATTTCCCTTTCCAAATCCCTTCTCAAATCCCCCAACCAAACACAGTATAAAGGAAATTAAATAAGGGTAAATTATAGTGACATCCCCAAAGATTAGGAGAAAATATATAAGACTTCTAATTTTGACATAATTATATGGGTCTTCCTTTTAGCAAAGACTCATGGTATATTTGGTTGAGGGATTTGATGAGGAATTTAGAAAGGGAAATAGAAAAAGTAGGTGAAATGTGAATAAAACATATCTATATTTCACCTAATTTCACACACATTTTTCCTTTCTCTTTCTAAGTCCTTCTTCAAATCCTCCAACCAAAAACAGTGTTAGGGGACCAAATTAATATAGTTAGTGTGAAAACACAATGATAAATAAGAAAATAATATATATTTTAGTGTAACAAGATTGACAACATTATTTTTTTCATTCATATAACTAACAAATTATTGATAAATAGAGACTAAGTGTTGTAAACCTTAAAAGAAATCAAAGTAATTATGACAAATTATGAAATTTGTCGTATTTTTTCTAAGGGGTGGTTTGTGATAATATAAATAAGTACATTTTTTGACTTTTTATGAAATATGAATTAAATATGGGTTAGATTTGAAGTGATGTGGTAAAGAGGTAATGTGACTTAAAAATAAAATGATATAACTTAAATACCATAATGACTTTTTGATTTTTATAATTTTTTTTAAACATTCCAAACAAGACCTAAATCTCAAAGATGTCAGTGTCATTTACACTTTTAAATAGTTAAGAATTGCATGCACCTCCCTCAGTTCTCTACTTCCCTAGTAAGATCAAGAACCTAAAAATCATATGCAAACAGACCCACAATAATGCGCCTATCCTTCAAAAGGGTAACTGTTACTCTTTGCAACAAAAAAATAAATGGGTTCCAATAAAAAGAAATTATTATTATTTTATGGTTTGAGAGTAATAATATTACTTCTTCCATTTTAAAATATTAGTTCATTATTTCATTTTTTATTGTTCTAAAATATTAATTTATTTTCAAAAATTAAAGACTAAAATAATATGAATTTCTTATTTTGTTCTTATTTTAAATTTATTAACAACACAAAAAATACAATTATGACAATTGATATTTTTAAAAAAATAAACTATGAAAAGATAATTTTAAAAAATTAATATTTTTAAAGTATAATAATTGTACTATAAAAAAAAATTGATTCTCTAAAATAAACTGTTATTTTGAAACGGAAAGAGTACAAACTATGGAAACAATATTCAGGCATCACATGTATTTGCCCCAAGATGTTTTTCCACCGTAAGTACGGACCTTTTGTCCCTCTGCTTAGATCCTTCTCCATAACCAAGATTCGACCCGTCTCTTCCCCAGTTGGTGCCTCAATGGTCGGTAACAAGAATTAAATAATTAATTGTCCCCATCCCCAATCTCCATCCAGAGATCAATAGCTACAAATCCAATCTCCATAAACAAATGCATCAAATTAAAAGTATATAGAAATAAAAACACCTGATAATAATAATAATAACATAGCATAGAGAATGAAAGCAACCCCACCACAACAGGTTACAAATTTCACAATGCAAGGCAAATTGGGTGGCCAAAACCGAAGCATCTCAGAGTCTTCCTCCGACACGGGCTGTGCTCCCACCAGTTTGTCTTTTATCTTTATTATCTGCTGATGTATCTTCTTTTGTTGGGTAATCTAGAGGCATTTTGGGAAGAGGTTAAAAAAATTAATTTTTTGACTTTTTAATTTTTTTAGTCAAAAAAGTTAAATTTTTTTTATCCAAATAAACCTAATTTTTTGCCAAAAAAGCTATCAAAAAAAACTAAAAAACTAAGTCTTCCTCCGACACGGGCTGTGCTCCCACCAGTTTGTCTTTTATCTTTATTATCTGCTGATGTATCTTCTTTTGTTGGGTAATCTAGAGGCATTTTGGGAAGAGGTTAAAAAAATTAATTTTTTGACTTTTTAATTTTTTTAGTCAAAAAAGTTAATTTTTTTTATCCAAATAAACCTAATTTTTTGCCAAAAAAGCTATCAAAAAAAACTAAAAAACTAAAAAATTTATTTTTTATCAACTTTCCAAAACACCACCACCTTTCAGTTAAAAAAAAAAAAAAAAAAGAAAAAAAAGCTACTAGTCTACACAGTGCACTTGTCAAACATTTAACAATAGTCAAAAAGTAAAATAATTGAGACTGACACAACAGCTTAGACAAATCAAAAGATGTTGAAAATAGATTAAAGTAATTGACCAAATTATCAAAAAAAGCATTCGATACCTAACTTTGTAAACTCTTGTGCGACTTCATTCGGATATTAGACCTTTAAGACCGTGACTTCGGTTCAGAGTCACAGATAAACCTGTTTCGGAAGCTCGTAGCCCAGTTAAGACCTTGTAACTTCAAAAAAAAATTAAAAAATTATTATTTTATTTAAGTCATAAAATTTCTTTATTATATCACTTCAAATTTAACTCATATCTAACTCATATTTCATTTCATGTCAAAAAGTACACTTTGATCATCTCAAACTATTTCAAAATTAAAGAGAAACTCTACAGTACGGTAGAACAAAGAAAAAAATTATAAAAACAAATGGAGTGGTAGTGATTCTCTGATGAGTACCAGGAAAATCTGTCAAGTGACTTGCACGGTTTCATATTTATGTTAAAAAATAAAAATTATATCTCATTTGGTGGTAATTCCCCCACTAAAGGGAAACTAGAGTACAGTGGAACAAAAGAAAAAAAAAATTACAAAAACATGTTGGATAACATTTTTTTTTGTCCCATTATAATGTAATTCTCCTAAATTACAATACCATTATTATTAGGATACTTCCGTGTAAATCCTAATAAATAAATTTATTGTCCAATAGGTCTTATGAAAAAAATTTGCTATAAAAAAAAGTCACTAATTGTAAGTTTTAACAATAATTTATAAAAATCATGACAAAAAGTCACTAATTGTCAATTTTTAACGACATATATAAAAAGTTGTCATAAAAAATTATTTTTAACTACAATTTTATCAAAATTTATTTTCAATAAGATTCGATAGAAATTAAACATAACTATTAAGGCTATTGGTAGTATACCCTTATTATTATTACTATTAGGTTGTTGGAACATTGACCCTACAAAGCAATTGCAAAAGAGACGAAAACGAAGACAGATGGCGATTTTACGGGGGACTGCAGACACCCAAAAGCTTCTAGAAATGGAGCTCTTGCCGCGTGTAGTCCTCGTAGAACCTTTGATCGATCGATCGATTGATTGATTGACAGAGGAAAAAGGGTAAAAAGTGAGTCAATGCTCTCTCTCTCATAGGGATTGCAAAACAATTCCTAAATTGTTGAAGTATTTCTTTCTACATGACGCACGCTAATCTTGACTTGCATTTCCAATCCAATCCAAAGTTTGGCACAGCCCTGTGGATACATTGAACTCTCATCATCGTCAAAACGATTGCATCTTACTTGGGATCTTTAATGGCCACAACGAAGTCAAACAAACTGGACTTTTTGGGATGATTTTGATTTTGTTTCGCCATGGTTTGAGCAGAAACAGAGTAGAGTCTGTTAAAAAGAGTCATTTCATTTGGATCAACAACAAGGAACAGAGTCATCATCAACGGCGAATTCAAAGCACGATTAATCTGAATGTTTTATAACCATAATTAGTATAAAGACTTTTTTGGGGTTAACAAATTAGTATATATGTGTATAGAGAATATTTCAAGCAGTATAAAATTTATTTAAGAACCGAATTTTAATTATTTATACATTAAATATCAAATGTGCATTATTATAATATTATTATATACATTAATTAATATATTAATATATATTATAACATTATTATTTTAAATTTATAAATTTCGCCTATTATGTAAATTATAAAAATTTAAATCATTAAAATTATACTATATATTAATTAATATATATACATATATAATTTTTTATTATTATTATTTTAACTTCATCATCGGAATGACAACGAGACCGATTTATATTAGATTTGGTAATCCACATTGCGCTGCCCTCCAGCAGGACATAGTTCTTTGGGGGTACATCGGGCATCCGAACCCACCCCAGTCACCCGACAAACTAGCTAAGCGGTTATTTAGGGTGTACTAAATAAATATATTTTTTGTCTTTTTAAATTAAAAAATTAAGAAAAAAAATGGATATTTGAGTTATTTTTTTGACTTTTTATAAAAAAAATATATATTAAAATATTGTATAAATAAGAGTTGGTTTGGCAAGTTTAAAAAAAGTCAAAAAGTTATAAAAAAAAGTTAAAAAATTATCATTATTCACAAAAAAAAAAAATTAATATACAAATATTAATTTGAATGGTAAATTAATATAAAAGTTCAACTTTTTCCACACATCAACGTACTGACGTCAAGCCAACTACAATAAAAGGAGGGAAAAAAAAAAATTAACATGCGTACATTCACTAAGTTGAATGGTATGGTTGAGCCTGTAGGGGCCATCATGGGTCTCGTTTTGATAATCCGAACCGTTAATATGTAAAATTCGTCTAGTATTATATGCCTATAAAAAATCACGTCTATCGGATATCGATAACTACATGATCAAATCAGTTTTGTATAAAAATTAGATGGTATTATAGTTAACAGTTGACAAAAAAAAAACTAACATGATCAGATAGCTATCGATATCCAATCAACGTGATTTTTTACAAGTATATAGTGTTCGATGAGTTTTACACATTGACGATTCTAATTAGAAAAACGGGACCCGTAGTGGGCCCCAACGGGCTGAACAATACCGTCCAATCAAAATCTGAAAAAGAGGCAATCTTT